TCTGGCTGGCCTGCCCAGAGCTGCCACTTGCGGGCTGTGTGACCTTGGGCTCAAGGTCACCTCCCTCCACAGGCAGGCGGGGCCGTGAGACAAGCCATCCCTGACTCTGGGATCCCCCACCCCCACCCCGAGGCTCTCCACCTGCTGCCTGGGAGTCGCAATTTTTAAAGTGACCACTGCGAACTAGACTCCCCCCTCCCCCCGCCCCCCCAGGGTGGGAAAGATAGTAGCAGACAGGACACGCCAAGTGTCAGGAAGGAAACATGAATTTTATCATCGCTCTTATGCTTTCTGTTTATAATATACTTTTCAAAAGAAACCTCCGTTTCTACGAGAATGGAAGCTTTTATTTTATTTTTTTTTCAGGCCCGCATCCGCTCACACCCTGTTTCTTTGGCCCGTGTTGGCCCTTCGAGTGTGACGTGCTTGCTCCAACCCAACAAGTCCCCGGGGGCACCCTGCCTCCAACACGCACCCCCGGGGTGCCCGCACCCAGGCCGCCCAGCTCTCCGGGCTGAGTCGTTCAACGCCGGGTCAGTTCACCGTCCTGTGCCTCAGTTTCCCCTCCTGTCAAGTTCAGAGGCGCGTGGGGCGCCTCTCACAGGTGCACGTGGGGATGCGATCGGCTGACACACCCAAAGGGGACAGAACAGCGCCTGCCGCCAGCCAGGGCTCGTCCAGGCGAGGGGCACGCTTAACCTGTTTGTTGTGGTTGCTGATGTGAGAGAGACACATCGATGGGTTGCCTCGCAGAACAGCGCCTGCCGCCAACCAGGGCTCGTCCGGGCGAGGGGCACGCTTAACCTGTTTGTTGTCATTGCTGATCCTCGCCTGGGGATGTTTTCCCATTGATTTTCAGGGAGAGGCAGAGAGAGAAACATCGATGTGAGAGGGACACATCCATGGGTCGCCTCCTGCACGCGCCCCGACCAGGACCCGGGCTGGGGAGGAGCCTGCAACCCAGGTCCGTGCCCTTGACCGGAATCGAACCTGGGACCCTTCGGTCCACAGGCTGATGCTCTACCCACTGAGCAACACTAGCCGAGGCACACTGAATGTGTTTTTAAACCTATGCACAAATAGAGGCACAGTGGCAGCGAGGGGAGGGCCGGTGTCCGCACTGTGCTGTCTAGGCCGGGGCACAATGAACGTGTTCCTAAACTTATGCACAAATAGGGGCACCGAGAGGCACGGTGGCTTTAGGGTCACACAGTGAGGGGAGGGCCGGTGTCCGCACTGTGCTGTCTGGCCCACAACCAGGGTCATGCCAGACCCCTCCCCCACCCCGCCCCCAACCTCTCTCCAATACATTTCCTCGTGGCCCTGGGCCTCGGACACCTCGGAGAGGCAGCGAGCCACCCCGTGGGGGAAACAGGCTTGGCAAGCAGATGGCGTGGGCAAGGCTGGCGGGAGCCCTGCGGATTACGTGGGTCACTTGGGGGCGGTTTTGGGGGTCAGGGACCCCAGGCCTGGGTTCTGAGTACATTCTCCTGCGGGGGGGAAGGGGGACTCTA